GTAAAAAACCACTGTCGGCGACTTGAAAAAAAGGCTGTCAGGTGCCGTGGCCTAGGTTTCTCACTGAAAATCCTCGTCCCCCGGCGGCACCTTTTTTTGAATTTTCTTCCTTTTCAACGCCGTTTTTCGCAGATTTCAGATTTTCTTTGAATTTTTTCGCAATAATATTTGAAAAATAGATAACTTTTAACACATTTTAATGCAATAAAAATTTTTGGTCGGAGTCCCCCTTTAAGTTTCGATTGTTCTCTCAGCCATTCTCCTTTTTAGAACTCAGTTTTTCAGGCATTTTAACGCTAAAAATGCTGCAATTTTCCCCATTTTTTCGAAATGTCAGTTTTTGAAAAATCCTTTTTTTTCAGTCAATTTCGAACGAATTCATTCAGAATTTCGGTTATTTTCAGCGAATTTCAAATTAATTTCAGACATTTTAATGTGTTGTTTAGCTATTCCTTTATTTATTTATTTTTTTTTTTTGGAAAAATTGTCATTTCAAACAGTTTTGAAGACTTTTCGTTCATTTTTTTTTATATTTTCCAATAATTTCAGCCGAAACTCCATTTTCAGATTCCCTTTTTTCGTAAATTCTAGCTCATAAAGCGACTTTTTCAGCTATTTTCAGTCATTCAAATCTCAGAATTTGCCGTTTTCACACGGTGAATTTTTTTTAGGATGGTGAATTTTCTAAAGTAAATGCGCTCTAACGCGAATACTGTAGTTAAGCGAGCTGAGTATCGACACGCATGCTGAAAAATGAATTACTGAGTCGCTACACAGCGAAATAGCGACCAAAAATGAAAAGAGCGTTCCGGAAAATTCACCGTGCTTTCAGTGATTTTTTGAGCTCAGAATTCCGATTTTTGAGGTATTTTCAAAGCTAAAAATGCAATTTTCGGACTAAAATTTTGAGAAAAATCCAATTTCACTCCCTCCCCGCCGTCCCCATTTTCCAATAGAACTAACTTGAACACGAAAGGCGACGCATCATAATTCTCTCCATGCGTCGCTGCACACTTTCCAGCCATACTCTCGATCATCATTCCAATTGTCATCCGAGACGGGAAACCGTGAGGATTGAAAATGATATCCGGTACCATGCCGGTCTCCGAGAACGGAAGCGATTCGGTGGGCCATAGGAACGAGTTGATTCCCTTTTGTCCGTGTCGCGACGCGAATTTGTCTCCGATAATTGGGTTTCTCTCGATTCTCCATTGAATCAACGCGTGCTGAGCTCCTCCTCCAGGCGCCTCAGAATTCTCCACAATTCTCACCATTCCACAGTACGCCGGCTCTGCATAATGGAATTTATGGGTTCTAAAGTCCCCAGTCTCCATATTAAACGTCACATAGTAGACTTCGTCCATGAAGTAACGTCTTCCAGGGATTGGCAGTCCATCTGGTCCAACTGTCTTAATCTCTTCTCTCGGATTCTTATGGAAAATGGTCTTCTTCTCTCGCTCGGTCACCAGTTCGATTCTCTCCACTTTGATCACTGTTCCGTGCGCGAAACCTCGCTGATAAGAGGCCTTGTTGATTGTCATCGCGTCTTCCATATCGTATCCAGTGTAGGAGATCACTGCCACGCACGCATTCGTTCCTAGCGGGTACTCATCCATTTGGTACTTCTCGTAGGCTTCCAGCTTTAGCATTGGCTGTTGTGGGAACTGCAGACGGTACATTTTGTTGTCGGCGCGGGTGTGCCAGGCGTGCACGGCGGTGCCCATGGTTTGTTTACCCATTTGACATTGGTAGACGTTACTGCAAAATGGATCAATCGAATTTTGGGATTTTCGAAGCGTAAAATTTGAAAATTTCAGTCAAAAATCTAGATTTTCAGCTTAAAAATGACAGTTTTTGAGGGAAAAAATCTGATTTTTCTAGCTAAAAAACGAGATTTTTGAGCGTAAAAATTGCAAAAACCGTCGATCAAAAATGGTCGGAATTTTGAGGATTCTAGGATAATTTTGGGTCAAAAATCCAGATTTTCAGCTCAAAAATGACAGTTTTTTAGGCTAAAAATCTGATTTTTCTAGCTAAAAATCGTGATTTTGAAGTCAAATTTTAAGCTAAAATTTTCAAATTTCGTAATTTTTGAAGCGTAAAAACTTGAAAACTTTGAGGATGAAAAACGGTCAGAATTCCAAGATTCCAAGGTTCAAAATCCGAGATTTTTCTAGCTGAAACTAAAAAACCTGTAATAAAAGGGCCCTATTGATGAGCTTTTCGAACGAAATTTCGGTGATTTTTGATGGGTTTCCAGCTCAAAAATTGGGGCTTTTTGAGTCTAAAAATCGTGATTTCGCGGACAAATTTGTGAATTAAAAATGGTCAAAATTCAACGGTTTTAAAGATAATTCAGGGTCAAAAATCGAGATTTTTAGCTCAAAAATGGCGGTTTTTTAAGCCCAAAATCTCTTTTTTTGGCTATCAAAAACGCGATTTTGGAGTCAAATTTTGAGCTAAAATTTTCAAATTTCGTTATTTTTGAAGCGTAAAAACTTGAAAACTTTGTGAATAAAACTCGTCAAAATTTGACAATTCTATGATAATTTTGGGCCAAAAACCTAGATTTTAAGCTCAAAAGAGTGGTTTTTAAAGCGGAAAATCTGATATTTTTAGCTATTAAATTGTGATCCAAAGCTGAAACTGGCGAAACCTCTATTAGAAGGGCTCCTAATAATGTGATTTTTGGAGCGTTTTCAGCTCAACAAATGGCCTGAAACGTTGATTTTCGGTGATTTTCAGTCATTTTTAGCAATTTAACACTAAATCCGTAGACTGTTTTAGGTCAAACTTGGAGGATTTTTGTCAAAAAAACTGGCGAAACCTCTAATAGAATGACACCAAAAGGTGAGATTTTTTTCGTTTTTTAGCTCAAAAACTGTGGTTTTTGGACCTTAAATCTGATCTTTCTAGGCTAAAAAATCGTGATTTCAGAGTCAAATTGTGACCCAAAAATGCTCAAATTTGGCTTTTTTGGCACATAATTGACGTTTGTCCGGTGAGAATTTCACATTTTCAGACATTTTAGACCTTACCTTAAGTTAACAATTTTCTAGCCAAAAACCTACCGTGGCGATTGATTATGATCCGGGAACGGAATCAAATTTCCGGCAAAAGAGAACAAACACGACGGGTGGAGCTCTTGGTGCATCGTGACACCGGGCTCCGCCTCTTCTGGATCCAACACCACCGATAGATAGACTTGTTCGAATGTTCCAATGTGTTCAACAGAGTCCAGTGCCAAATTTCGAACGGGACGAATCAGACGGCCCGGGTCACTGAGAATGTAGATTCCCGGGTATTGGGTTTGGATGTTCTTGATGTCGGTGGAGCGGCGGACGAGAGCGATCTGGAATAGTTAGACAGTTCAGAAGGCTCGGGGCTGTTCGTGCTGATTTAGGAATTATTAGAACTGGTCACATCAAAACTGGACGTTTCAGAACTGATTATTTCGCAACCGGACGTTCTAGAACCAGTAATTTCGCAACTGGAAAGGCTAGAAGTGGTCATTTCGTAACCGGACGTTTCAGAACTGACTATTTCGCAACCGGACGCTCTAGAACCAGTAATTTCGCATTAGGAAGGTCTAGAACTAGTCATTTCGTAACTGGACGTTTCAGAACCGGCCTACCTACAAACTTTTGCTTCTTACACCGAATTCGGGTCAATTTACAGCCAAAAAGTCGTCTTTTTAAGTGAAAAGTCGGGATTTTCAACCCTAAATCCCTGTAAAATTATCGAAAATCTTGATTTTTCAGTCATTTTCAAAACTTCCGGTTGCAAAATAAACAGTTCCAAATGTGTCAAAAAAGGTTTTTTTTTTGAGAAAATTTGGCCAATGAAAGTCTAAAATTGCTCTAAAAACCGCTGAAAATATCGAATTATCAGCAGTTTTGGCTGAAAATTGTAGTTTTTGGCGCTAATTTTGCCTGAAAATCCGCATTTTCCAGGTATTGCTACCTGGAAATTCGAATTTCCAAAGGGAAGTCGAAGATTTCTAGCCAATTTCCATAGTAAATTCGGGTCAAAAAATGCTCGGAAAATCGTTTTTCGGCTGAAAAATCAAGATTTTCGCCGTTTTTGTTACGAAAATCACGATTTTCACTGAAAAAAAAGTTGTTTTTTCTTGAATTTTAGATGGGAATTTTGACTGAAAATTGGTGATTTAGGACCGAAAAAATTGGTTGAAAATTGCAATTTTTGGGCCGGACGTTGTCGAAAAAATCCGGCGTTTTTCAGCTATTTTAAGTCGATTTTGACCGGGAATTTCGGATGAAAAATCGTGTGTTTAAAGGTACTTTTTATCGTTTTATCTCGATTTTTTGACGATCTAGGCTCAATTTAAGCCTAAAACTAGGATTTACATGCTAAAAATAGGCATTTTTGGTGGATTTTCGTAAGATTAAGGTCTATTTTCTCTCTCAAAATCCAGAACGCACCTCAGCTGTATACGGAATTCTGGCGTCCTTCGCCACCTTGGCACATCTCAAATATCGTTCGATCGACGCTGCCTTAGCAATCGGCACGTAGCCAATGAATTTTCCATCCATCAGAACCGGATACAACTCCTCGCCAGACGGTGCCATCGACACCGTCTTCTGTGTATACATTCCCAATTCCGCCAGCATCGATGTCACATTCGAATTATCCGTTAAATGGGTCACGATTTCACACGACGCCGTCACGTGATTCAGAAGACCGCACGGCGCGCCGTCGGGAGTGTGCACCGGGCAAATGAAGCCCCACGCTTCGGGACGGAGTTTTCGAACGTCGGTTGTACGCATCTCCATGAAGAAGGCGCCTCTGTGAATGGCTCGGAAGTGAGAGACGAAGCGAAGTTGATTGATTCGCTCGGCGATCACTGAGAATCCAGATTCCTGTTGAAGAGCGAGGCCGACACGAGTGACGAGGTTTCCGGTGGCCAGGAAGTAGGCCATTCCACGGGTGATCTCTCCGCCGTTGTGATTGCCAAGGGCTTTGAGGATCTGGGCTCTGCAAATGGGATTTTTTTTGACTATTTTGGCTTGTTTACCGTGCAAAACCTGTAATAGAAGGGCTCCCTAATTTTCAACTTTGAGCCAATTTATCTCGGTGCTTGATAAAGACATGACAAATTTGTCAACTGATCAATTGTGCATCATATTATCAGCAATACTTTATCAGTTGACTACTTTTTGATAGCTCTTATAGGAACAAAGATAATTGAGCTCAAACTTGACAGTGTAGATTTTATGACGATTTTCACCCATTTTTTGGGGCCTTTGGATCATTTTCGAGCGTGTATGGTTATTTTGACTGAAAGGTTTTTGATGCAAAATGCAGGTTTTTAAGCAATTTTTACAGCGATTTTTAGCCATTTTCCGTCAGTTTTCAATCATTTTCGGCTAATTTTAAACTTTCTAGACAGATTTCAACCCAATTTCAGCACTATTTTCAGTGAATTTTAGGCTCATTTTGGCCATTTTAATATACAAATTGTGTTTTTAGAGCAAAAAAAATATAGCTATTCTGACTAAAACTACTGTAAAACCTGTAATAGAAGGGCCCTCCACACTGTCAAGTTTGAGATTAATTATGCCCCCCCCCCCTCCCTTGAAAAGTAGGGGGCCCTTCTATTGCAGGTTTTACGGTGGTTGAATACCAAGGTTTTTGATGCAAAATGCAAGTTTTTGAGTTAAAAATACATTTTCAGTCAATTTTTTTTCAATTTCATGAGTCAAAAGGGGGTTTTTATAGCTGAAAATGCGATTTTTAGGGGCATTTTTACCTCGAAAATTGAAAAAAAAACTCACGATGTCAATCGAAAATCCTGCCTAGCACTCATAAACTCAATCTTCCTCCTCACCATGCCCAGAATATTCTCCATCCTCTCTCTCAAAATCAACAGCAGAATGTGTCCAGACACTGATGCCTCCTGGAATTGCGGATTGTCGGGCGTCTCCGGAGCGCATTCTCCTTTCACAAGCGCGATGAGCTTCTGAGCCATATAGGCCAGCGTGTAGAACTTCTCCTCGTCGTCCTCCAGATGAATCAGCACGCATTCTTTGAGGATGAAGCGGCCGGCGTCGATGTCCTTCTCCCAAGGACCCACTCTATCCGAGACAGCTACTCGGAAACGGGATCCGATTGCTGTTATGGCAGATTCCTGGTCCAGAATCCCTTCCTCTTGACATTGAGCAAGCATGTTGAGGATGCAGGAGGCGAAGAATTGATCTTTGGGACGTCCTTTCTTGAATTCTGCACTTATCACTGCGTCATTCTTATTCGTCAACGCCTTCACAATGTACATCATTGGGATATAGAAGATTTCTCGTCTGAATTGCAGTGCCAACTGCATCGTTCCCGTATCCAAATAGTGCATTGTCATCATGACAGCCGTATGATTCTCCTTCACACTTCTCATCATCACTCCAAACTCTGAGAATAGTTTTCCCTTCTCTTTGAACGTTTTTCGAATGATTGCGATTGGAAAGTTTCGACGATTTGCAATGAGCAATCTGATCACTTTTTCCGAGCCGTTGACGATGAAATAGCCGCCTTTTTCGATGGGTTCCTCGCCGGCTGCGACCAGTTGTTTACGGGACATTCCACGGAGATGACAGCCTTCGGAACGGAGCATAATCGGGACCTGGAATAGGGGCTTTTGGAACTCAAATTTGAGCTAAAAACACTTTTTTCAGCACAAAATGACCCAAAAATCAAATGTTTCAACTCGATTTTAGTCGAAACCGCTGACTTTTTGACCCAAATGACCCTAAAAACCAAAATTTTGATTGCAAATTTTGTCCAAAAACGCTCAAAACGCTGATTTTCCTGATCAAAATCACTGGAAATTTTCGAATTTTTCACTGAAAATGTATCGTAAAATCTCAGTTTTAAAGGAGATAATTACACAAAAAATTGTTTTTTTAATTTTAAAAATTGGCTAAGAACGAGTTTTTTTCGCATAAAAAAACAATTTTTTGTGTAATTTTCTTCTGGAAAACTGAGATTTTAGGATAAATTTTCAGTGGGAAATTTGAAAATTTCCGGTGATTTTGATCAGGAAATTAGCGTCTTTTCAGACTAAATGTGCAAACTAAATTTCAGTTTTTGGGGTCATTTTGACTATAAAATAAATGTTTTCTGACTAAAATTGACTGGAAACTTCGATTTTTGGGGTCATTTTGAGCAGAAAAACAGCGTTTTTAGACTAAATTTGAGTTGAAAATCTTATTTTTTCAGATCATTTTAGTCAGAAAGATAGTCGAAAATTGGATTTTACGGCCAACTTTTTCTATGAATTTTGACGTTTTTTAGACCGAATATGAGTCGAAAACTCGATTTTCGGAATCATTTTAGGCAGAAAAATAGCATTTTCAGGCTGAATTTGAGTTCAAAATTCGATTTTCAGAGTCATTTTTACCAAAATATCAGCGCTTTTTGACCAAATTTGAGGTTTTCGGAGTCATTTTTACCAAAAGATCTGTGTTTTTTACCAAATTGAAAGTGAAAATTTTTTTTTTTTCGGGACATTTTGGGCAGAAAGTTAGCTTTTTGAGACCAACTATGAGTCGAAAACTCGATTTTTGGGCAAATTAGAGTCTTTTTGGACTAATTTTGAGTTCAAAATTTCGGTTTTTAGGTCATTTTGACTCGGCATGACCCGAAATTGATGTTTTAAGGTCGAGTTTAGATTGGAAACCAAGCTTTTTTAACCCAGAATCGTTAATTCTGAAATTCTGAAGAGCATTTGAGCCTGAAAACTCGTTATACAAGACAATTGAGTTTTTCAGTATGAAAATCATGGCTTCTGGCTCAAATTCTCAATTTTTAATCTTTTAAGGACCAAAAACTATCTTTTTAATGCCATTTCAGTCTCCTACCTTGCCGAGAATGGTCTCAATGATATCCAAACGCGTCTCATTGACATGGACATCAATGTTGACTTTCAGATTTCCAGCATACGTCATTCCACGCTGTCGGCACTCGGCTGGGTACAATGGAAGGGTGTCGCTGGTCAATTTGGCCTGAAAAAATGGATTTTTCCCTTCAAAATTCTCATTTTTCTCAAATTTCCAAAGCTTACACCACTGTCCAGCGTCGGCTTATGCAGTTGGGCGGATGTGAACTTCATTGTGACATTGTCTCCATTTTTCAAACGAAACTTCTCGGCTGGAATCGCTTGGGCGGCGAGCTGACAGCCGTCGGTGACGAGAAAGTCGAACGAGGAGACGTGATATGAGGCGATATCACAGTCCATCCTGAAAAATCGCGGTTTTTTGAGTGAAAAATGAGTGGAAAATTGGTTATTTAGGCTTTTTTATTGGTATTAAACGAAAAAAGACATGGGAAGGCGGGTGGAAGAGCGAGAGACAGGCGGGCGGCGGCCGCGGCCAGGCAAGCAAAAGAGAGGGAAATTTGAAAAAAAAAAAGCTTCATTTGAACAGCAAAAATGTATAAAAAATCGAAAAAAAAATCCTTGAAATTCTTGGAGACCTGTCGCTGAATTAACCTGAAAAACAAGGGGAAAAACCTGCTAAAAATATGGGAAAAATATGTTTTTCATTCAAAAAAAAAATTAATTCTGAAACAATTTTCAGTGAAAAAATCGCTTTGAAACATGCGAAAATCGACAAAAAACCAAAAAAAAAATTTTTTTTGAAAATTCCTGGGGAACCTGAAAAGCAATGACAAAACTGCGAAAAATATGAAAAATTTCGTTTTAAATCTAAAAAAAATTTTTTTTCACAATTTTTTGCGAAAAAATCTGCTCAAAATCTTCGAAAATCGACGAAAAATCGCGAAAAAATCGAAAAGAAATCAAAGAAAAATTAAAGGCGCATGCAATTTCCGCGGTGGGTCTCGACACGATCGCCAGGGCTACTGTAGGGGCGGAGTTTCGGCGACTGCAGAGAATTTTTAAATTACCGCCCAAAAGTTGGTCGTTTTTCAAATTTTAAAATCGATTTTTGTTGTTTTGAATAGCTGAAAAAATCGAAAATTTGAAGACAAATTCGATTTTTTCTCAAAAAATACCTAAAAATTCGCAAAAAAAAAATGGTTTTTTGGCCTAAATTTGGGGAGGAAAATTCGAAAAATTCAGTTTTTTTCGCCGAAAAAACCGAAAAATTCGGGATATTCTATGCTTAAAATCCAATTAAAAAATTCAAATTATGTCAAAAATCAATAGAAAAATGGGTTCTATTGATTTTTCGCGGAAAAAAAAGAAGATTTTTCGGCCGGAAATTCAAAACTTCCAGTGTTTTTTGGCTTAAAATTCATTGAAAAACAAAGTTTCAAGGGTTTTTTTTGCGGTTTCTGACTCTAAAAGCTTGAAATTTAGCTAAAAAATCACAAAAAAGCATTTTTCCAGACTCCAAAAATGAACCAAGCAACGCCGAGAAGGTACAATCTGCGGAGCTCCCAACGAGACGTCCCAATTCCATACAACAGCGCGAAAAGTGTTGTTCCCTTGAGGAAAAGAAGTAAAAAACCCTGAAAAAAAGCCAAAATCTATAATTTTTATAATTCAGACTCTCCATCAGAAGCCAACAAAGGTCACAAACGGCAGCGGACACAGCAGTCTCACGGACCGCCGTTCAGGTCTCCAGCTGGAATTGATTTGCCGCGGCAGAGTCATATTGAGCAAAGTTTGTGGTTTTGAAATTGAGAAATTTGGGGGAGATTGCTTAAAATCAATTTTTCATAATTTTTGGATCATTTTTCATGAATTGGGAGAATTTTTCATAATATTTAGATCATTTGTCATGAATTTTGAGTTTTTTTTCCGGAATTTTTGGACCTTCTCTTATGATTTTTGGATCATTTTGAGGAATTCTAGGCGATTTTTCTTAATTTTATGACTATTTTTCATGAATTGTGAGAATTTTTCATGATTTTGAAACCATTTTTCATTAATTTGAGACCATGTTTCATAATTTTTTGACCATTTTTGTTGAATTTTAGACCATTTTCGTAGATTTTGGACCATTTTTGTAATATTTAAGATAATTTTCAATGAGTTTCGGACCAATCTTGATGAAAAAAATGTTCAAAGCTTTAACACTTACAGAAAAAAACAATTTTCAGTTAGTTTTGTGTTTTATATCGAAAAATGTCCAATTCGTACTTTGAACTGCATTGAAAATGGTCCAAAATTCATGAAAAATAACCCAAAATTTATGAAAAATGGAATTTTTAGACCATTTTTCTTGATTTTCGAGCTATTTTCATGAATTTCGAGCTATTTTTCCGGAAATTTCGAAACATTTTTCATGAATTTCGGGCTATTTTTCATGATTATCGGACCATTTTCATTGAATTTCAGGCATTTTTCATGAAATTTGCATCAAAAATAATCTAAAATTCACGACTAATAGTCAAAAATCAATCGAAACTGGTCCAAAATTATTGAAAATGCATGTTTCAGAGCCCAAAATTTCAATTTTCAGGACCCATCGTCCAGCTGCCCACACGTCTCTCCCGTGAGCTGGAACAGCCATTCGGAAGTTTCGGACAACTGCCCAACGATGTGATCTATCAAATTCTCAGCCGCACACCGTACACCCTTCTGGGCCGAATGTCGATGACGTCTACCGTTTGGAAACGAACAATTTCGGCGTATGTGAGAAGCGGTTCGTTCAATTTGCGGCTCACGAAAGACGTGGAGAATACGATGGATTCGTTTAGCAACGAGAAGCTGGGCTCGAATGATTTGTACTTTTCGATGGGTTAGTTTTCTCTTTTTCATTGAAAATACCCTTAAAAAAAAAGAAAATCTGCAAAAATAAGTCTATTTCCTGCTGAAAATCTTCAAAAACTACATTTTTCTATCTAAAACAGTGGTTTTTAGCTATTTTAGCTAAAATTTCAGCCAAACTCGCCCTAGACTTCGATTTTAAATGACTTTGGATTCATGTTAATGAATTTTTGAATCATTTTCATGAATTTGGACCATTTTCCATGAATTTTGGACTATTTTTCATGAATTTGGGACCATTTTTCATGAAAATTGAACTATTTTTCATGAATTTTGGACCATTTTTCATGAATTTTGGACTGTTTTTAATGACTTTGAATCCATTTTAATGAATTTTGGACCATTTTTCAAGAATCTTGGAAGATTTTTCAAGAATTTTGGATTTGCAATGATTTTCTGAGTTTTGAAGTGAAAGCGTTGTCAAAATCAGCAAAAATTGCACAAAAAACTGTGTTTTTGGTTTTTGGCCGATTTTTCTAGGCAACTTTTGGCATTGTGAGCTTGTGGAACATTTTCTTATTTTCTGTGAAATATTTTTGAAAAATTCTAGTAAAATGCTCATAAAATCAGGAAATCATAACAAGAATTTACGATTTCTCATCACTAAAACCTTAATTTTTCCAGGAACATTGACCAAATATCTGACAATCAACGAGAAATGGAGCGTCCGACTCGACTGTCTCCGCATGTTTCTCACAATGGCCTACGAAGCAGACTCTTCAATAGCAGGAATCGGAAAAATCGTTCATGCGGTACCGGACCGCCGCCTTTCCTTTCAAAAAATGACTAATTCCAGTTTGCTCTTCGCCCAGACGAGGAAATCGTAATGGAGGAGATCGACGACATCGTTACCCTCGTATTCTCAATCGTTGGCAGTCTAGTACACGAGTTGAATGGCGTTGTATCGAGATCGGACGTCGAGAGAGATTTGGAGAACACTGAGAATGCTCATATCTGGTTTTACGAGATGGAGCTTCGGAAACGAGTGTTGACACTGTTTCTGAACAACGGGGTCACCGATCCGGCCGTCGGACTCAACAAGTTCTTTTTGAGCAGTGTTTTGAGAAAGTTCAAGGAAGCACATGGTGTCGTACCCACCTCGTTGATCTATCTTCTATTCTCGCCCACTACGATTTATGAAGGCGAAGGTAGGCATGTTTTGAGCTAATTGAACTGGAAATTTATAGCCAAAAATTCTATTTTTGAGCTGAAAACCTGAAAATTCAGAGTCAAAAATGATTTTTGACCTGAAAAAGGTTGAAAGTTCGAATTTTAAGCATTTTCTAAAGGTTTTTGGCACTCTAATTTTTTTCGAGCTCTAAAACTTGCAATTTGAAGCTAAAAAATTCGAATTTACGGTTCAGTTTTGATTGAAAAAAAGGTAAACAACTAAATTTGAGCATATTGTTTGATTTTTATGTGAAATTTTGACCATTTTCGACCCAGTCACTGAAAATTCACAGTGAAATGTGAAATGATGATTTTTGACCTGACAAAAACTGGGAAAATTCGATTTTTAGGGTCATTTTTACGAAAAAATCAGCGTTTTTGGGTCATTTGGGACAACAAATTTTGAGCATATTTTTAAATTTTCATTTGAACATTAGGCTATTTTTTTGACTCAGAAAATCGTCCAGAAGCGTAAATTAAATATTTTTGCAGAAGTGATCCATTGGCACCGCCTATCTCAAATCTCAGTTGTCGACTTTGACGACGCCCTAGAGTTGAACCCGCTCGCCAGAGCCATGTTCGCTCTTTTGCAGTGTAAAAAGTTGAACAACACACTTCCATGGACCAAGAACACCATTTTCAACTTGATGGAAGAGATTACAAGTGAGTTTTTTTGGATTTTTCGACCGATTCAAAGTCGAATTTCGAAATTTTCAGCATATCCTAATCCGTGGTCCATGAATACGTTCGTCGCGCTGCATGTGCTCGAGCCGGAGCTCGTTCCGATTGGAGTTGTGGCGCGATTGAATAGGAATCACGAGGACGAGGCGGGCGATATGATTTGCACTATGAAAATGGTAATTTTCTGAAAATTTCAGTAAATCCTGATGTCTTTATTGTTTTTTTTTTCGCTCAAAATTCCATATTTTGTGCTTAGGAACCCTGAAAATCTGCGAATTTTAACAAGTTGCGAAACCTTGAAAAATCTGCCCTGAATCTTCTGAAAGCTTCTGGGAAGATTCTGGAATTTGTTTCCTATTTCTGACACTTTTCTAGGAGGTTGTCTAAGAATTTTCAGTTTTCGCAGAACTTTCTGGACCATTCATTTCGATTTTCGGAAAATTCTGAATATCCGAATTCCGAGAAATTCTAGAGATGGACGACTTCAAGCGTTTTTGGTTCGAATTTTTCCTTTTTTTTCTGATCATAGCTCCTCTCTTTAAGACCTTAAAAATCTCGACTTTTCACTTAAAAATACCATAGTTGCAGATGGCGGGCCGGCTGATAACTTGTCTCTAGAACCAGATTTTCAGACGGTTTTGGTACCAAATGATAGATCTCGACAGGGCATATCACGCCTATATCATTTAAGCCTAATTCCATTCCGGTAACATGTCGAAAAATGCGTTTGAATGACAATTTTCGACCAGCTTGATAAAAAGCAGATTTCTTGTCATTCAAGCACATTTTTCGACATGTTATCGGACTGGAATCCGCCTTGAATGATATAGAAGTGATGGGCCCTGTCGAGATCTATCATTTGGTACCAAAACCGTCTGAAAATCTGGTTCTAGGGACAGGTTACCAGCCGGACCGCCATCTGCAACTATGGTATTTTTGAGTGAAAATTCGAGATTTTAAAGATCTTTAAGAGAGGAGCTATGATCAGAAAAAAAGGAAAAATTCGAATCAAAAACGCTTGAAGTCGTCCCTCTCTGGAATTTCACGGAATCCCGATATTCAGAATTTCCAAAAATCGAAATGAATGGTCTAGAAAGTTCTGCGAAAACTGAAAATTCTTGGAAAACTTCTAAAGAAAAGTGTCAGAAATGGGAAACAAATTCCAGAATCTTCTAGAAGATTTCAGAAATTTCCGGGCTTTCAAGGTTTCGCAACTTACCGTTGGTACCGAAAGTGTCTGAAAATCTGAAAACATCTAGATTTTTGAAAATTCAAATTATTCCGGAATTCCGAAGTTTTGAAAAATTTCATTCCAAAAATTCCATTGCACATCTCTGCTTCTGAAAGTTCCAGAAAATACGTTAGAACCTGTATTTGAAGGGCCGACCCATGTGTTTCTTACAGAGTACCTCAGGGCTCTTCTATAACAGGGGCCCTTCTAATACAGGTAGTACGGTATTCTTCAAGGTAAAAGTTTTACACAAAAAATTACAGAACGCTATTTTCACTAAAAATTCTAAAATTTATAATTGAAAACTTCGATTTCTAGAAATTAAATCCAAAAATCGTTTCAGCTTCTGTTCCGCTGGAAAATGGACGTCGTCGGCGTGATAGAGCGAGCGCTCGAATCGATAAAAACCGCTCTGAAACCCGAACAATGCCGTACGCTCTTCGATCGCTGCTGGGATTGGCATCAACGAAACATTGACGATCTTCATCGGCGGCTCGGTCAATCGGCAGAGGAGATTCGAGCGGAAATCGAGAGTCAGATGGAAGTGATGCCAATGTTGATGAAACTCTTGTAATTATTAGAGTATTTAAAAAGAGAATATCCAGAGAAAATTATGTATTTTTTAAAGTCTCCCCCGAGTGGTTTCTTTGGAATTTGGAATTTTTGGGAATTTTGGCTTCTGAATTGGCTGAAAATCTGAAAAAATCCGAGTCCAAGAGAAGCTATGTGTCTGCCCGAGTCTTCTAAATGATAATAACTATGGTCTGGCAGCGGAAAATGCTCCAAAAATCCATGCGCTCTGGGTTACTGTTGCTCAAATTTTGTAATTTTTGTTAAATTGAAATTTTCGCGATTCTCAGAATTTTTTAATCAGAAATATCAGAGTTTTTGAGTCGAAACCTTGGGATCAAAAATGGCGCCAAAATTGAAAAAAAAATGTTTTTTGTCTATTTTTTCTCGATTATCTGGAAAAATCGAAGAAAAATTCAATTTCAAAAAGTGAAAAATTTTGAAGATTTTCCCGAATTCCAGCACTTTTTACACTGAAAAATTCCAAAAAATCTGGTTTTTCGCCATTTTTATCTCGCAAAATAGCCAAAAATTACCCGATTTTTTGAAAAAATCGACCTACAGTAATCCCAACCCCCAGGATTTTAAGATGAGCAATCACCCCGCCCGACCATAGTGTCAAAAAAAAACGTTCCATATATATAAATACATAAAAATATGTATCATTTCATATCGTGTATTTTTCCACCTTCCCCGCTATCACATGTCCCATTTGCTCATGTTACATCCCCCGTTCTGTTTTTTTCAGAAAAATAGTGATATATATATATGTTTTTATTGGAATTTTTCTTTCAAATTTCCCCCCTTTGAAATTTTTTATTCGCCCCGAAAAGAAGAAGAATATTTATTTGTTTTTTTTTCCCAACTAATATGTCCTCCCTTTAAAATGTCCCAAATAACCATCTGTGTCCCTTTAAAGTTTAAAAATCATCTCCCCGTTCCTCCTTCCGATCCTCCTCATGTTCCATTCCAATGTTCTCTTCAATTAAATTGTGGTGTGTATACGGTATCAGCATTTGTTGTGCATTTCATTTTTTTTTGCATTTCAATCAATTACAGGGAAAAGAGGAAGCGATAATCCGAAAGCAAAATATATATAGTACAAAAAAAGGGACAACCGGCTAGGAGGAGACACAAAACGAATCGAAAAAAATGATGAAGAAGTAAGTGATTTCTATAAAAATGATGCTTTTTTTTGGAGAACATCGATGAAAAAATAGAGGAGAACTGAAACATTTTCAGAATCATTATGCCCAGAGAGAGAAACAGAGAAAATGAGGAGATTTTTGCGATACTTTTCAATCGTTAGAGGAGAAAGAGGAAGACTTTTACAGTGTTTTTTAAAGTTATACTATATTCAAACAAGAAAGAGATTAAGAAAAAAAAAGGAAAAAAGATAATTATTGTATAATCGGTTAGGGGGGGGGCGGAGCTTGCTCATTTATCATCGATGGAATCTGAATCATTGTTCAAAAATTAAAAATACACAAAATCTAGGTCGGGACCCAGAAAAATCCAAAATCTAAAAATCTAGGTCATGGTCTAGAAAAACCTAGGTCTAAATTTAGTTCACGGCCCAAATTTTCTAGGTCATGACCTAGAAAATCCAAAATCTAGGTCATGACCTAATTTCTCAATTCTCGTGACCTAGAAAAATCATAATTTCAGTTCATGACCTAGAAAAATCTAAAATCTAGGTCATGACCTAATTTCTCAATTTTTGGGACCTAGAAAATCTAGGTCATGACCTAGAAAAGCAAGAAATCGTAAATCTAGGTCATGACTTAAAAAGCTAGGTAATGACCTAGAAACCAAAAATGGTGACCTAGAAAACCCCAAAATCAAGGTGATGGTTTAAAAAATCTAGGCCATGGCCTAGAAATTGAAATTTAGGTCATGACCTAATTTCTCAATTCTCGTGACCTAGAAAAACCAAGCCCACGACCTAAAAACCTATTTTTTCTCTATTTTCCTTTTCAAGACTCCTCTTGCCAGTGGCCTAGAAAAACCTAGGCCACGGCCCTCCTCTCAAAAACACTCACCTCGTAAACACGCGACTCTCCTCATGCACGTCCATCTCGGTCGCCTTGAAATCATTCAACTCCTTCCGAATCATGGCCTTGTCCGACGGCGTCAGCCGCGTCCACGGCTTCTCGCCCTTCCGATCGTAGACCTCGGCTTGGGTGACTTCGACGTAGTCGTTGAACTGAATGATTTGTTGCTCTTTGAGCTGAACGATTGTCGGTCGGAACGACAGTTTTCGGAGTAGCAGTTTTCGTTTCTCTTCCATCGCTTCAGACGACGTCAGACCGCCGCGATTACGTCGGAGGATGTTGCGGTCTTCGAGCTCTTCGGGCGTCGGACGTTCGCTTAGTTTTCTGAAAATACTGCCGAATGGGGTTATGGGGTACTGTAGAAGAAGCCGGAACGGGTTTTTAAAATCCTATTTTAGGCCTAATTTGAGCCTAATTCAAACTTATTTAGAGCCTTTTTTAAGTCTGACTTAAGCCTTATTTAAGCCTATTTTAAGCCTAATGTAAGCCTATTCTAAGCCTAATTCAAGCCTAATTTAAGCCTATTTAGAGCCTATTAAGAGCCTATTTTAAGCCTAATTTACGCCTATTCAGGTCCTATTTAGAGCCTATTTTAAGACACATTTAAGTTTTTTTGAGCCAAATTTAAGCCTATTGTAAGCCTATCCTGCCTAATTTGAGCCTATTTCAAGCCTAATTCAACCCTTATTTAAGACTAATTTAAGCCTATTTTAAGCCTTTTTATAGCATGTTTTAAGCCTAATCCAAGCCTAATTTAAGCCGAATTGAAGCCTACTTAGAGCCTATTTTAAGCCTAATTTAACCATATTTTAAGCCTAGTTTAAGCCTAATTAGAGCCTATTTAAAGCCTAATTTAACCCTAGTTGGAGCCTAATTCAAGTCTATTTTAAGCCTAATTCAAGCCTTTCTGAGCCTATTCCAAGCCTATTTTAAGCTTATTCATGCCCGATTTGAGCCTATTCCGAGCCGAATTAAAGCTTATTTAGAGTCTATTTTAAGGCTATTTTAAGCCTAATTTAAGTCTATTTAGAGCATATTTCAAGCCTAATTTAAGCCTATTTCAAGTTTAATTTAACCCTTTTGAGCGCCTATTGCAATCCTAATTAGAGCCTATTTATATATATATATATTTCAAGACTATTTCGGTTCTAAAACGTCACAGTTCTAAAACGACCTACTGTCTACAATGACCTACCGTGCCAATTTGATCGACGCCGTCTTCATCAACTTCTTCCGATCGTCCGCCGTCTGTCCGTTGATGTCATCCTTGCATGGCGGCGCGTCGAGCTTCAGTGCAATCGTATCCCGTCGAGCTACCTTCGACGCTAGACCCGTCTTCTGAATCGGCACGTCTTCTTCCTCGTCGTCATCATCTTCATTCGATGAAGATCCGGATGGTGCCACGTTGGCAGCTCGGCGAGCAGCGGCTGCGGCTAGGGAGATGGGATCGTCTCGATATTGAATCGGAGCATCGCTGTCGCTGTCGTCGGTGAGCTTCGATGGAAGTGGTGGCTGTGACGAGGATGGTTCGACGTCACGAGAGTTGCGACCTGCAAAATGAGTCGTTGTGAAATGGAAGAGTTCTAAAACGTCACAGTTCTAGAATGGCATTTTTGTTAAATCGCTGATCCTAGTCATCTTGTTTGCAACTGGTTCTAAAGTGTCACAAATCTAGAATGGTCCATTTTCGAAAAGTTCTAAAACGTCGCAGTTCTAGAATTACACTTTTGAAAAAGTTCTGAAACGTCACAGTTGCAGAATGTCATTTTTCGTTGTATCGCTGGTTCTAAATCGTCCTAATCATGTTGTTTGCAACTGGTTCCAAAGTGTCACAGTTCGAGAATGACACTGTTCTGGTTCTAAACCGACGCACTCAGGATTGGTTCTAAAACGTCACAGTTCTAAAACGACCTACTGTCTAGAATGACTTTCTGGAGCATCTAAGACTTCGATTTTAAAATGCCCTTATTTCAATCCAACTCGTTCTAAAGCGTCTCGGTTCTAAAACGTCACGGTTCTGAAACGTCTCTGTTCCAAGATGTACCTGTTTCGAGGCGGTACGGTTCCAGAACGTCCTAACTCCTAGAATAGCATTCTAGACCATCTAAGGCTCAGGCTTTAAACCAAGCTCTAAACCATCCTAGTTCTCAAATTGTATATATATATTTAGAGCCTAGTTTAAGCATATTTTAAGCCTATTGTTAGGGCCTTTTAAAGCCAATTTTAAGCTTATTTTAAGCCGATTTGCAGATTAATTTGGGCTTATTTTCAGGCCTATTTTTAGCTTATTTCAAGCCCAGTTCCAAAACCCACCATTCTTCGCATTCAACCTCAGCCTCGACGGTTGCCCGGGCCTTCTCAGCACCGGCTTATCAGGCTGCGCATCGAAGTTCGGCTCCTTCGCCTCGATTCTCCGATAGCCCTCCTTCAGCATTCGCGACGTCTGCGGACTCAACTCTCCACGTCTTCCAACAGATGACGTCGTCGTCGTCGTCGCCGTCGAAGCACGCATGTCTTCTGTGGACTCGTCTCCTTCGCTCTCCGTACTCTGATCGTAGTTTATATTCTCCTCATCTGAATCTCGATTGTCGTCGTCGTCGTCGGCTGAAGGTGGTTGAATGACGAGCGATGGTGGCGGTGGTGGAGCTGTGAATCTCGGTTTAAAGATCTGATGACGATCTGATAATGACGTGGAGGAGGATTGTTGAACGAACTGGACACGTTGTGGTCCTTCTGAAGACGTTGTTTCTGACGTTGGAGGCTCCTGGAGACGTGTGCGAACGATGGAAATGTGATTTGGGTCGACGATCAGTGGTTGGGGTTGGGATGAATTGCTGGAAAAAGTGGGAAATTTCGGGAGGGGAAAAATAGAAAAGTGACATCCGGATACACATATGGACATCCGGACGCAAGGAATGAAACATTTTTCCGGCAGAATTTCAGCCAATTGCTCAGCTTAAAAAACCCAAAAATAGCCAATTTTTTGTACTGAAATTAAGATTAAAAATTCGGAAAAAATGGTTTTTTCAGGCAGATTTTTAGCCGATTGCTCAGCTTAAAGGGGGACTCCNACCAAAAATTTTTATTGCATTAAAATGTGTTAAAAGTTATCTATTTTCCGAATCTATTGCGAAAAAATTTTTGAAAATCCGAAATTCCCAAAAAACGCCGTTGAAAAGGAAGAAAATTAAAA